GCTGGGAGTGGTGCCAGTCCGACAGCAGTGCAAAATCGTATATATCGTTGCTGTGCAGAAGTGTATGTGCGTTGGGAGTTTGGGGCTATTGCAGACTGAAAATAGTGCTCCACAGCCTGGTCCAGTGAGGTGAGGTCCAGTCTGGCTGAGAGGTGACTAAGAGCTCCTCCAGTTCTAGGGGCACTGACGTTGGGGAGGCTTGAGCCTGTGGATAATGCGAGAGGAAATATGCTCTGTTGTTCCGAGATAATGCATCCGCTAAAACGTTGTGGGATCCCTTAATATGGGCTGCTGATACTACGAAGTTGTACTTTGCCATTATAAATGAGAGGCAGCGCATTAGATGCATCAGGGTGTTCTCCCTGCTAGAGCCTGAGTTAATCAGTGCCACTACTGCCGAATTGTCGGACCAAAAACGCACCGACTTTCCTAGCCATTCATGCCCCCAGAGGGCTGCTGACATGACTATTGGTATCATCTCTCTGATTGAGATGTGTGAGGCTTTCATCGTTTGTGGCCATTTGAACTGTAGCCACCTGCTTCCCTCGTAGGCCCCACATCCCCAGGTGCCTGGGGCATCTGTCGTTACTGACACCTGGGGGTTTGCTTTGTCGAACCGCACCAGCATGGAAGTACCATTCCATTGGGTGGCAAATACTGACCACCAGAGGATATCAGACCTCGCCGAATTATTGAGGCGGACAAAATTGTCGAGGTTTTTGACTACTGTTGACAGAGTAATGAGCCGGCGTAAGAAAGAGCGCCCCTGATGCACCGCCTTGGAGGCATGTTGCAGGTAGCCAATCAGGGACAGCAGCTCCCTCTTTTTGCCTGCCTTACGGCCTTCCCATTCTGCTAGTAGCTTCCTCAAGCGTTCCAGTTTCTCAACTGGGAGCCGGATTTCCATCTTGTGTGTATCCAGTTCAATGCCGAGGAATGTGAGCACTTGGGCAGGACCCTGGCATTTGTCCTCCTCTAGAGGGGTCCCTGTGACCTTGCAAACCTGAATGATGCCCTGCAGGTTGCACTGACATTGGTGAGAACTGGGAGGCCCCAGTGTGATAAAGTCGTCTAAATAGTGAAACACTGGGCGCACCCCCTTTTCGGACATCATCCATTGGAGAGCATCAGCTATGGCTGTGAATATGAGTGGAGCTGAGCGTAACCCAAACGGCAGCACTTTGTCTATGTATGTCTGCCCCTCCCATTGCACTGCCAGCAGATGGCGGTCATCGGGGTGCACTGGTACCATGCGATATGCCTGCTTAATGTCTGTCTTAGCCATGAGAGTCCCCTGTCCTAGTCGCAGGATCTCATCTACAATTTGATCCACTGTTATGTAGGACACGCTGCACATGTCCCTGTCTATGCCATCATTTACACTGGCATTGCTGGGTGAGGACAAGTCTACGATCAGGCGCCATTTTCCTGGCTTAGCTCTCTTTGGGATTACTCCGAATGGGCTTATGTGACACTGAATGCTAGGAGCTTGTGATGGAGAAACCACCACCATGCGGTTCAGCAGTACCTCCTGTTGGAGATAGTCTCCGACCACATCTGGGTGCTGAAGGGCGGACACCATGTTGGTCGAGCAGCTAGACAAGCTCTTAGAGTGGTCGTAGCCAATGCGGAAGCCCCTCTTTATGCCATTTACCACGTAGGCTGCAAAGGCACGGTCGGGATGGTTCGCCAGCTCTGTCTCCCATACCTCACTGATGAGTGGGGTGGTTATCTCCACCATTGCTGCAGGCAGGCTCACTGCTCTGGTGGGCTTGCCGGCTTGCAGCCCCTCGAGCTGTTTGATGTATGAGGGGCCCCCCTGACCTAGAGTGGATAGCAGCCATGTGTAATAAATGTCAAGTCCACGCCCCCTCTCTGTATATACTAGGGATTGTCATCCGCTTGGCATGCATCGCCTGCGCTCGTGATAGCCCCCAGATAGCAATATCGGGGCCGCCAACCGGCCATTGAGTAATGGGGGTAAATAAATGCAGGATAAATGCTCTGATGTCTGGTCTTTGCGTCCTGCCCGGCTACTGTTGTCTGGGTTTTGGTGGAGACTTCGCCTTAGGACACTTCAGCGCCCCATGATCCGTCGCCCGGCAGATCGAGCACTCATGGGTATATGCACATGACTCCCCATGAGGGCAGCTCAGGTAGTGGTACTTGTTCCATTTGCGGCACGCCTCTTCTGAGTGAAAGTGTGGGCGAGGTTTCTTTGATGGGGGCCCCGGCTTTGCCAGTGGCCTCTTTGAACCGAGGTGTTCGTCTTGGGAGCGGTAGGGGCACGTATGTTTGGTGTGGTCCATGGACGTGCAGATGGAGCACCAACCCTCCGCGCTCAGCGACATCCCCGTGAAGCACTGGGTATGGATGCTGCTGTCAATCATCGACCAGTCTGTCCTGCCAGTGTCTGCTGCCTCTTGGCGAAAATACTGGTCATATATTATCCAAGCTGGCCAGCGAAACTTCTTGCTCAGACGTGCGATTATGGCCGCGTACATCAGCAATGATTGGGCCCTTTCTGGATGTTTGGTTAGCAGGACCGCCGAGTATATCGCGAAGCACTGCATCCACGTAGCGAGGTCGGGGATGTGCTTCTTGGAGTGGACATAGTCCGCTGCCTGGAGCAGTACAATTTTGCCCTCTACGTCACTCGATAGGGCCGCTGGAGTTTTACCAAAGCCTCTGGCCGGGGGAAGTTCCCCTAGGTCTGTGAATCTTCCCGCCAGGATCAAGTCCACCAGGGACCGCTTTAAGGCCGGGACTCCTGGGGCCACCACAATGGTGTCCATTGCTTTGGAACTGCCCGCTGCTCCTGCCATAGCTAGACCCATGGCTGCTGGTTGCATTCAACCCGCCAGTATACTTGAGAGTGTGGTGGAGGCTGGTGTAGTTATTGCGCCATGGACTGGAAGTCCCGCTGTACCAGCTGAGGATGGCTGCAGGGGAGTGGAGCTGGTACTTGGGAAGCTCCCAAGCCCCAAGCTGCCCACAATGCTACTAGTGGGCATGGTGCCCAGTCCTCCTGCTCTTGCCCCTACAGGATGGGAATAAGTAAGGACTTCTGAGGATGGTATGTGCCGTACTTAAGGCGCTGCAGCCAGAGTGAGTGGGGTTTGGCCGACCTTTGACTAGTGCTGGTCTGCCGTTACACTGCAGTAGTGCCCCCAAATGCAGCCGTACGCTGCTAGAGCATGGCTTTGAGCCCAAGAGCTTTGGATTGCTGTGGCACTGACCGCCCTCAAGGTCCGAGGGGCCGTGTATAGCTTAGACCAGCACTGCCCCCTTTGGGGAGCTTGGTCTGCAGTAGTCTGTCACCAGCTCTGCCCTGGCTTGAGGCCCTTGTTCCAGGCCAGCGTCTACTTCAGATGCAGAGCCAGGCTGCCTGCCATGACACGCCCCCAGGAGCTTGGTCTATAGTCTGCTTTAGGCCAGCAGGTGATATGGTGGGCTTATCAGCCCAGCTGAGTAAATATGGTATGCACAGCCCCGCCCCCTGCCACACCTTGCTGGAGTGGAATGGCAGGTGGACATGACTGATAAGGCAGGCTTTGATTGCTTAGCAACCTGCAACCTGTGCCACTGTATTTTGCCCTGAGCTTGGTCCCGTCTATTCTGGCAGGTGCTGAGCGAGCCCTACACACTGCCGTACTATAACTATATTGGAATGCCCAGACTAACCCAGGGTAGCCCTCCGTTCATCCGCATATGTCACATTCCGGGGAATGGAGGGTGGAGAGGGACTGGGCTACCCTAGAGTTTCTAAAGGGGAACCTACCCACAGACGACGCTGGAGTCCCTGGCGTCGTGAAGGTGCTCCCTCCTGCACTCGCCGCGACCGCTGCCTGTATGCGTGCGTCCACGGACGCCATGATGCGGGGCAGCGAGCTGGAAACGGCGGCCTGGACCGCCTGGTCCAGCATCGACTGGAACGAGGTGGCGGAAACAGCTGCTGGTGCCGTTGAGGAGGTAGTAGGCGGCCGACCGGAGTTGAGGATCGTCGATGTAGAACCGGATCCCGGCGTTGTCGTGTTCGTGGTCCAGCTGGACGTAACTGGTGCACCGGACGATGCCATCTCACTGATCCAGCCGTGAAAATTGCGTGAAAATTGCTCAGCTACCTGTCTGCCTCACGGATATGCTAGGAAATAGTGCTGACTAAGACCACGAGGCATTAAATTCCATTTGACGACAGATCAGAACTGTCGAGTCACATGATATATGCTAGCTAGGGATGTCACCAGATTGGACATGCATGAGTATGGACCAAAGGCACTAACCGCCGGCTCGCTCACCACCCATCGATCGTGCATTGCTCGTGCTGCCTAGCTGGAACCGTAGGCAGCGTTCGGATTCGCTATATCCTCGCACGTGTGCCTGCCGGACGGCAAAAGCGGTCGAGGTAAGCCGTATATACTCATTAGCATATTGGCTTACTGCGCTTGCGCGATACCGCTAATTGATGGGCTGGGCCGTAGTATGCGTTTACTCATGGTCTCTCCCGCTAGTAGCACTCGGAGAGTCTGACACGGGCTAGCTACAGTAGTAGATAGCATGCGGGAGTCGATGCACGCCCTTCGTTGTGACTTATTGTTCCTCCAAGGTACGCAGAGCAAGCACATCTTGTCGAGGTAAGCCCGTGCTAATTTGCATATTGGCTTGTTCACTTGGTTTCACGCCATAACTTTTGAACGCGGTACTTTTACGAAAATCACCAAAATGAAGCCAGTGTAGCGCTGAACCCGTTGGTGTCGCTTATTGGCCTGTTTGTTGCGCGTGGTGGCAGAAAACGTGGTAACAGACCGACAGACAGACACACAGAATAACCCTCGCTGCGCATGCGCGCCGAGGGTTAATAACCCCCAATGTGTATGCGCATCGAGGGTTAAAGGAAAGACGACACTTACTTTATAGGGGATTGTACGCAGTGTTTATCATAGTTGCAGTTTTCCAAAAACCCGGCTGGATCAAAGGGTATCTCTGTGCAGTTCCCTGTTGCATCATCATTGATTCCCCAATCATACCTTTCTGTGGCTAAAAAACATCACAACGAATATTGAGAGAGAGTTACGAAGTGAATGTAACGAAGTATACACATGAATATACAGATACACACATGAAAAAACATTTGTTTATAGCATACTAGCGCAGAGGAAAGAGAAAAGAACCTCCCCCACCCAAGCACACAAAACACAGGACAATAACATACCAAGCGTACAAAACACAGCACATAACATAAACAGAAAGAAAGAGGCAGGACCCTGGGTGCCCAGCCTTGAGAACATGGACATAGTTACACTGGCAAAACAGTCTACTCGTTATTACCATTCTTACGTCTAATGCGAAAAAAACAGAATCAGTAGTAGGTAATCACTCTAAACAAAAGAAGGTGTTGACTTAACTTGTTTAGGTGTCTTCCACAGTGCTGCACAGACAAAACCGGCAAGCACGCTAATTACTTACGTCGGAACACTCCATATAGGAATAAGGTAAAGCATGCAATTCAATGTAAAAAGTGCTCCAAAGGTGGTGAGAACTAGTAACAAAAAAACATCACCAGAAACAAGAGCAACAGGAAAATGCCTATAAAGGATTACTATACTTTCACTCTCATTGCACGACATTCACTCCAACAATTTCTAAAAGAACGCCATATATTGTCAGCGCAACACTGCACTACAAATGCCGACTCTATACAATCGCGAGGAACTTGTGTGAGTTTGAATGTCTTTCTGTCTCCACTAATTCATGCAATTTCCTCGTGGATTTTCTGTTCTGGACAGTAATGGGACAGACGACTGTCATTAGGGCAGTGTGTCATAGCTGTTTTTAGAGTGGTGACTCAGGTTGTACATTTGGAAGTGCATAACAATATTATACACTCTGAAAACCTTTTCGTCCAGTATGCGACTCCACGGTGATCATTCATTGCTTCAAGATCAAATACATCAGCCATGCAGAGATATCTCTCGACTTCACTGTAAGCAACAGCTCTATGCATAATCTGGACAGAAACAAAATATGCAATGGAGGTGGGTTGCGAAGCGCTGTGGCCTAGAGCGCTACACTACATGTACTGCTACATGCCCAGATGTGATGTGAACAGCAGACACACGTTTTTTAAAATGACACACAAGACTGTGATTTCCGCAGCACATAGGGAATTATGATACCTCCGCACGTCCGAACCACTCGTGCTAGTTGTGTCTGTCTGTGTGAGCATAGCATATTGCACTTAAGTTGTGCACCACAGGGCCCTTGTTCCCGCACGCGAGTGACCAAGATGGGGTGGTACCTCTTTGTGCTGGTATGATCATTCAGTTACTATTGGCATAGAGAATAAGTCCTAAGGACTATATTCCTTTAAAACACTACCTATTTGTTGAGGACCAGTTGAATGGACCATGTGCTGTCCCGCAGCGGGTAGGGTGTTCACGGTGTAAACTTGCTCGGTGCCGTTGCCTGCATGGTATGATGAATGCATGCACAGAGGTCAGCACTCAGTGATACTAGATAAATTCACACATGACAGCCGCTATCTCATGCTGCGCACAGTTGTGAACACCCAGTCGTTCATGCTCACAGTCCATTAAGCAGTTTTCTTGTCCAGTACATTGAATATCATCCAGCCAGTAATGTACTTGATTGATATTAGTATCAAAATGATAATGAAAAGAAGTTATAGCAGTGTCTGTGGAAAAAGCAGAGAGTAAACATCGAGTAGGTTTTGTTAAACAGCATGGCAGGTATTTTTTGCATGCTATCTCACTCATAATTAACCCTCGGCGCGCATGCGCAGCGAGGGTTACAGTAGTCGTTCTGTCTGTCTGTCTGTCTGTCTGTCTGTCTGTCTGTCTGTCCGTCTGTCTGTCCGTCTGTCCGCGCGAGTTCTAGCACTACAGGCTACGAGGCGGCCAATGAGTGGCATCAACGGGTTGTGAACGACGAGAAGATTGATATTAACTCCTACGAGTAAACAGATGATGAGAAGGCTGTGAGTTGAAAGTCATCTTGCCAACAGACTTGAACTCCTCCATCCATAGCGCCCAGCGCCACCACCCCGATCCTTTACACGTATGCACGACGTTTACGAGGCGCCGTGTGTTCCAAAACTACTTCTCCAAAAATGCATAGTATGATGTCACTATATGTACTAAAAAGATACCACTGCCCAGAGAACGAGTCGTCCACGTGCACATGCTCCAGCAGTACGCGCTTCATTTGCTTTATTATCCGAAGGAGGATTCAACATTTTCATAATGGCTGGCCTGAATCGAGCGGAATCAGGGGAAACGTCACACTCACGAGCTAGCTATCGAGTATCTGCTCTGCACAGGCAGCGAGAGACTTTTTTCTACATTGCCACTTGTCCCTATTCCGGACAAGGACCAATCAGATGAGCCGGATATGCCTGATCCGCGCCTCGTCGACGGACTGTATTTTTGACTCGACTCGATCACTCAGACTACATACTAGCGCTCACGGGTCGTGTCGGCCTACATTGGTCCGGTGCAATGTATCTCACTAGTTTTGTGCACACACAGAGTGACATCATACGATTAGACCCCACAAATTGTATGCGCACTGCTTCCGCTCGCCAAAATGCCGTGACAGTTCGCCTACTAGTATCTATATATATATCATATATATATAAACATCGACGACCGTCGTACGTCGTGTCCGAGTGCGCATACGTAACGGCGTCTTTGTACGCGCTTCTTTTATCGAAATTATCTTCCACAGATTTTGATGTACACATTTTCATACACAGGCTACAGCGTTGCGAGCAGCCTGAGATCGACGCGGCCTAGCCTCGTCCCCTATGCCAGCTGCCTGGTGACCACGACAGACGAGCTGGAACGCGTACGCAGGACCGTCTCTGCTCACCGGCTCACCGTATACTGGCAATATACAGTACGCATGGTAACGGCGACAGGTAGCTCTGTCTGCTTCACGAAAGGAAAGCTGTACGCTGGCGGCACGTTATGCAGCCCGAACATCGCGGACAATCCCAAGTTGGGTCGCTCCCGCTCGCCAACAATGTTGAACATTATTCTAGTAAAATCAAGCTGCGGGTGTGGTGTGCGCATGCGTAAAAACTCCTGAAACGGACTCCGCCTACCGCCTTCTTATGGCACTCAAGCGTCTTGCCACGCTCCCGTGTCAATTAGATTCAGTGGAGTCATAAATGTCACGTCGAAATGTCGATTTTGCAGCAAATTTATATATTATAGTGGACATATTACCTATGCTTTGTTCGAGAATTTGGAACCAACGGTGCCCCGTATTACGACGTAACGTGCTTAGAACACTAAAGTGCCGTTTACCCGCGGTCTCCTCCCGCTAGTAGCTCGCGGAGAGTCTGATACGGGCGAGCTACGGTAGTAGATAGCATGCGGCAAGTCCATACACGCCCTTCGCTGTGGCTCTTGTGCCTCCAAGTACACAGAGCAAGCGGATCATGTCGAGGTGAGCCAGCAGCATGAGCATACCGCGTTGATCGCGTCTAATATACGCACGCGCACCGCTTATTGATGGGTGCTGGGCCACGCAACGCGGTCCGTGGACCGTGCCAGTTTGCTGCTCTCGAAAGCAGTCGTTTCAGGAAAATCGCTTTAGTTTTCAGGTCCGCGTAGTTCTGAAGCCGCTGGTATCGCTAATGGGGGCCGCCTCGTAGCGCGCCGAGGGTTAATAATCGCCACGACGCTTGTGTGTATATACCTCATGCATGAAGGGTTCATGCATTAACATGTGTCTTGGTTGGAATACCCGAGAAGGTTTTGATGCCTTCGACCCTTCCCAAACTAGTGCATTACCACCCACCCTGGTTGCTCCTATGCTGTGTTCCATACTATTTAGTTCAGTTTCTCATGAGGGTTGAAGCAAGTACCACCTCTCATGGACTACTTGGTGAAGTCATATCTAGAAAAATGGCTAATTGCGCATGTGCAAAGAGAAATTTCCGCGCCGCAAGCCGTCAGCCGACTGTGCACGTGGGCGTTCTGTGCCGGCCCGGCCCGCCCGCCCCATGGATTGGGCTTGAGACGTTAAATTTTTCGTGTGCGCGCATATATACGGTATCTAATTAATTATTCATGAGGCTCCGTCCGGTTGAAGCCGGTTTCCCAGCGATCGTTTCCACCACTTCCTTCCAGGAGATCCACTAACGGAAGTAGTTACTGGCACATTCCTTACTATACTACACAATGTGCGCAGAGCCACCACGCGTCCTCCGCAACTGAGCAGCTGTTATCTTACCATACCGCAAACGGAGTTCAAAGAACCGCATAGTTTGGACAGTCACACTGAAGCCCTGTAAGTTTTCCTGCGCAGTACTACACTAGAAACGGCTTGCATAAGAGTAAAACAGTTGTGAAAACAAAAGCTTTTAGTGGCGCCACTCCAAATAGCAGGGAAAAGCCAGTACAAAATATGTACATAATACACAGGCTTGTCACAGCTATGGCAGACTGGCACAAGAAACGCTCGATCTCCACTGTCGTGTGTGTGGAGGAAGAGCCAAGAGAGCCAGATCTGGAAGGGCCACTCGACAGTACACCTGCCTCTCACAGAAGGAAGGTCTCCAGTCAGTGTTTGGCATCTCTGTGGAGGAAGATGACCGTAGCACTCATCCAACATTTATGTGTCGCTCATGCTACGATACCATCAGTAAGCACCGCACACCATCAGTCAGGCCCTTTCAGTGGATGGTACATGAAACAGAGAGCTGCAGTGTAACTGAAAGCAACAATCTGTAATCTGCTTTACAAATTAGGTATGCAACCACTTCGAAACGACAAGGAGAGGTGGGCGGCCGGTGAATGCGTCCTCTTTCCTCGACCACAAAAAAATAATATGCACAACATTTTTACATGGTAGCCGGCAGGTTGCCACAGCACTGCACATCACACTTGGGGTCTTCTACCGCCTCTTCACCCTGTTGAGAGAGAGTGCCATCAATGGACCTTAGTGCTGCACTGCATACCTCGTCTGCCTCAGGGCCAGCTGCTCTGGAGTCCTTCAGAAGCTACTCGAAAGCTCTACAAGAAGTCCACCGAATCACAGACCAGATTGAGGAAGAGAAGAGTGGTTTGAGTGGGCTTGACACAGTGTATGGCCGGCCATACACTGTGTGGCACACAAGCGGACTTCCCTCCGTCCGGCCGTCGTGTACATTACGCTATTCGTGCGAAATACGCACGAACACGATACTGAAAACGCTAACCCAAACGTAGCTCGCTAAATTTCCTATGTTCCACTTCAGGCGCCTGCAGCTAATCACAATTCACAAATTTCACACAGAAACACCCTAGTGAACATAGTGTACACTGGAGTCACTGTACAAAAGGTGATAATAGTGTTCATTACTGGGTGTGTAATATCTGAGAAAGAGATTAGAGGTCTAGAAAATTACAGTAAGCATCAAATGAATCCAAATAGGCCAAAATCGCTTCAAACAACAAGTGATACTGGGTCTGTAAAAAAGCAAGATAAACAAAGTACAATCTATACAATGTGGATAGATAACCAACCACAGTGAGGACAGCTCCAGGTTTCTGTATCCTGAGAGCCTTGACCACCTGGAACACATCCACCACTCCCTCTGTCTTACACCTCTCAATGGTGGTGACTATGGCACAGAACATCCCCGACCTACCCACTGTGTCACTGCAAAATGCAAATGAGACATTGTTGAGCAAAACCACTACCTAGTTCAATTGCTTTAGCAATCTTGTAGCCACCTTCCCATGCCCAAGATAGGCTGCTGACAGTATATACCTCAACAATACAAAGACACACTCAGTGTAGGTTTGATAGTTTCTGGGCAGCAAGGCTAGGGGGAGGACTAGAGAATGCAGAGGTTCCAAAAGGCTGGTGACTATGGCGCACCGTTTGTGTCAAAATGATTTTTTCCATAAACCTCTGTAATCGGGGTGACAAATCTTTTTCAGGGCGACGAATCGTTTTCGCGTCGACAAATTTCTATGGCGACGATCGTTTATCAAGCGAAAGAATTCTGTCAAAAAATCTTGGTTTGAGGCGGTGACCATCTAAGGCGATCACTGCGACGTTTGTTTTGTGATCGGGAGGGAGAGTTGAAAGGTCAACTTTCCTAGAGTGCCTAGCCTTCCAAAGTCCTGCCTCTACTGGTTTCGAGTAAGTTAACTTTGAACTCTCCCACCTGGATCACGAATAATCGTCGCAGTTGGAAAATTATGTGCCGCATAATTGGTCGTCTCCCTAAATCCAAGATTAATTCCCTTGAGAAGCTTTTGTCGCTTGTTAAACAATCTTAGCCATAGTAATTCGTCGCCACGAAAGAAGAATTGTCGCTACGAAAGGAGAATCGTTGCCCAGAAAACGATTCGTCGCCACGATTACTGAGATTTATATACAGCAAAAAATCGTTTTGACACAAACAGCGCCATAGGTGACCACAGTTCAGGACAATGACTCTACATTCCATGGACTGATAGCCACATCCCACAAATTCAATGGGATTTGACAGCTGTCCATTATACCACAGACTAGTGTCTGACCTGCAGTGTACTACAACAGGATGGTTGCCAGTTCTCCTCTGGATTGCAGACATCTCATTTATCACACTGGTGATGGTGGCCAGGTGAGAGCAGCTGCCATCAGGGCTCCAGTTAGTCATGTGCAACTGAACTACCTGGTGGGCACGGCTTGCCTGTATAAAAATAACCCCAAATTATATTTTCTACCGTAATATTATTATGAAAACTTTCCTCAATACCTTCTCACTATAGACGCTTAATTTGCGCATGATGAATCCCTCCATGACATTTTCCTCCATCAGATCAACCTTGTAGCCTACAAACTGAATCAGTCCAGTCTGAGGCCAATACTGGTAACACGTCTCCTGCAGTTTTCAATAGCACTTGTAGCTATGAGAGTCACTGTGCCAGAGTAGGGCTCGCTACCTGCCCATTTTCCACCAAGTCACAGAGCATAACAATGACTCCACACTTCCTGTCGTGGACCATCTTCCAGAAATCTCTGGCTGTGGACTCCATGGGACTTTGAGCCATGATGAATGCTCTCTGTTGCTTGTACCCCTGCAAAAGAAAAATGCAGTTGATGAAATAAAAGTGTCACCAAAAGGAGTGCATACATTAACAAAAACGGCATGGATATAAGTCTGGAGATCTCCTCTTAGTGTCACACGCCAGGCATCACCTACAGTATGACAGAGAAGGAGAGAGAAATGATGATCAACACACCACAACTCTTCACCCACAAAGGAAACTCACACACATGAAGCTGGTAAAACTCACCAGGGAGGTAGTAGTCACTCCGATTCTTGGTGGGATTACGAAGAGCCTCATTCCTTGTAATCTCTTCTGGCTTTACAGAAACCTTCTCAAGTACCTACGCATTTAAAAAAAACAGCTCAGCTCAGTATATATTGATAGCTACTGCGCATTCCTTTCACCTTAAACTGCTTTTCAAACTCATTGAGATTGGTTTGTGGGTCACATTCACTCATTCTCTGAGTAACTCTGCGGAGGTTACAGGCAGCATCAATTTGGGTATCACCGCACATCAGGACCTCAAGGATAGCATCATGGATGAAGATATATTGTTCCTGTGTTAAACAGCAACACTAAATATGGTCATTTATTTGGAATAGCTGTGCAAAGCATACTACTACACCGATGCGAAATTCTATAGTGGGCTGTAGTGACATAGAAAAGGGTAACCTCCACACCAGATAGTGATACAAAGTTACATAAGCAGTGTATGGCATATCCCATCCTTACTAGTTGCGCCACTCACCAAGCTCTGGACCATTTTCATTCTCTGTGTGCGGAGGTGGATGATGACACCAGCTATATCCACCACCTTCTCCTCTTGCAGCTGCTCAAGAACACAGTCAATAGTTATCAGAGTCCCTGTCCTCCCCACACCAGCACTGTTTGAATAGGCAACGGAATCGTTTAAGCTTTTACCATGCAAATTCTTGTACCTGCAATGGACAGTAATTGGTCCCATGAATGGCTTATGATGTTTCTTCACTTTCTTGTGGAAGGCCAGAAGTGAAGTCGCATAGTCAGGCACTCCATGGTCAGGCCAGGCTGTGAAGTGGAACTGAGTCACACTCAGAGCTGGTTCTGAACTCTCCGTCAGCTGTAGGAGAGACTCGATATAACGATGCTTCTACACACCAACGTGTGCATTACCTGAACACTAAATTCCCGAGTGGTGTAGTCAGCCAGTATCTGTTGTCCTGTGATGGTGACATTGAAGGGGCCAAAGGACAGGGTCCCAGTCTCTGGCCAGTACTTGTGACACTTGATCCTATTTCCCTCCACCAGATTGGTGACCATCACAATGTTCCGAGACCTCTCCTGCCACACCATCCTCCAGAAGTCAACAGTTGTGTTAGGCAGTGGTCCTGTAGTAAATACCTTGCATCAAAGACAACCTGGCTACTATTTTGTCTTACCTTGTGTTGCTATGAACTTGTGCTCAAAATTGTATCCCTATACATAGGAGTGAGCAAGAGTTTACATAGGTGTTACACTCGTGCAGTAGATTCAAGACAACTGTACTGCACACTTAAGATTGTACTTAGTAAGATAGGGATCCAGCTCACATCAATGTAACTGGCATTAATGTAGTCTCCTTTGTACTCAGTGTGTCTTTCAACTGCCATGAGGAAGACCCTGTTATTTTCATCTGGATTGACATGTTCCACAATGAATATAGCACAGATGGCAACAGTAATGCCTTACACGGCATGATATTGGCAAATCTGTTGAGCTTTTGCAGACTTGTGTTAGATCCAGCAATTGTGGAAAAGCCTGCACCACAGTCTTGCATCACCTGAAACAGAGTCCAGGTGTAGTTTAGTGCTGCCTTGTGCATGCAACTGCTCAATCCAATCTCACTGTAAACTGATGTTTGAAGTCCCTATTGTCACTGGAGTGACATCGGGTGACGTAATCTCCAAACATTTCTGCCAAGATTGGATCAAAGAAGGCATTTTTCTTCAGTGCAGGGGAGTCGTCACTTCCCTGAGAGAGAAATAAAAGCGAAGTATCCTCTGCTTGTATACTTTTCCCCTTACCTCAATGTCGAGCAAATATATGTCCTGATCCCCAGTCTTCTCTTCAATAGGTGCCATCGGTGGCTCTGTGATGGAAAACCAAAAACACAATCCGAGTCAGTTCGATTTTACGTCACTAAAAATTTAATCGACATACCGATCATTGTTGTCTCTGTGGAGAGAGCGTGCTCAATAGCCTCGCCGTTGTGGGAGACGTAAATGGGGTTAATGGGGAGAGAAGAGGGAGTGAACCCGTGGAAGCTTTCAAAACCAAAAGACAGACTCAGCCTCTTGAGGGACATCTTCTTTGACTTAGTACAAAATCGCCTCCTGGTGAAAGAGAATTTCCAGATACATAATATAAAACACTGTATATAGTTGGGGTGTGACATTAGTTTCAGGTATCCCGGTGAAGAAAGCTATTCTGTGCCTCGCTTGTGTGCTTACATTACCAATGTGTAGGGTGTGACCCTAGTTAATCTGAAGTAACTCGGTGAAGAAAGCCATTCACCTCTCTTACAACCTTACATTACTTATATGTGTTCAGTAAGGGTGTGACTTACCGACAGACGCAAACACAGAAGACTATGATGCAAAACAGAATTAATGCTGTTATAATTGCCGAGAGAAGGATCAGTATCCAAGTATAGTCAAATCTGGAATCTGCAATTTGAGAATTGGTTTTAAAAACTCAAACCAAAAACTGAGGAATCTTACCGTTCGGACTTAAACCATCAGGGTTTGATACGGTTGGATCAGACGAGCCAGTAGGTGTCACACTAACAGATGAAGTTGCATCCAAAAGAGGCTCTAGGAAATTTTTTACAAAGTATGCTTTTTATAACCTCTGTTTTGTGTAAAAATCTGTGGACATTTTCTAACCCTCGCACACATAATTAAGACATTACCATCAGTAGCTGGATTAGTCTGCACTTTGGCTGATGTAATTGAAAATGAGTAGCAGGTGTCACACTGACAGATGAAGTTGATACAAAAGCAGAATTTGTAACAAAAGTGTTCATAGACTCTCCAATTTGTTTATCAATAGGTGTTGAGGTAGGAGGAAGCATACTACCACATGTAGTTACAAATGGTTTAGTCCTTGCTGCATCTGGGGAAAATGGAGGAATACTTAATAATTTTACACTGATTCTGCATGATAAGGTTTTTAAAACTGGTCTGTATGATTGGTGAGTGAAGTGAGCCTACGTACCCTTTGGACTGTGCGTGGTTCCACAGGCTACTCATGTAGTTCCCACCCTTACCGTAATTTTTTTATGTGATCCAAATACACACATGCACATAACTGAAACTTTGCAATCATTGCTCCATGCTCCAGTATATCTCGTGTTTGCTTGCCACAAATACATTACCACTAGACTGCTAGTGTGTTAAATACAATACTATCATGCACAATGACAACCCATTACCATTAGTAGATGCTGGTGGAGGAGATGTAACTACACCAACAGATGAAGTAGTGCACAATGAGCAGTAGTTGCAGTTGCAACAGATGGGAGTGACTTTGTATTCGAAAAACCTGCAAAAGAGTTTTCCAACTTTATATGTAAACTTACTCTAGACTAGTTAATTGCCACAGAATTATAAAGTTACAATGGACACATTTACACTAAGTACTCTATAGTGAGTCAAACGATCATATTTTCTTCTCTCCGAGGATA